GGGGGAAAGGGACGAGAGAGAAGAGAGACAGAGAAACAGAGAAGAGGCAGGAGAGGAGGAGGTGGAGGCCCACACGGAGGGAGGGCGGGAGGAGGTGAGGAAGGAGAGAAGGGAGCGGAGAGGCAGGAACCGGGAAGGCAGAGAGGCAGGAGGAGGAGAGACATGCAGGATGGAGACCTGGAGTTAGGTGGCTTGAGAGAGCTGGATGAAAAGAGGACGGAGAGGGGGCTGAGGGTCAGACACCCAGAGGTGGCCCTGGGGGGGAGCAGAAGGCAGGGAGGGAAGTAGGAAGACCGGGAGCCAGAGGGAGGCTGGAAGGGTGTGGGAAGAGAGGGGAGGAAAGGCACTGAGAGGGGGAGAGGAGAGAGGAGGGGTCTCGGTCCCTGGCTGCCCCAGCACTTGGGGACCTGGGACTCCCGAGGGGAGGAGAGGAAGACTGGAAGTCCTGGAGGGACAGGGTCCCAGAACGAGGGGAAGCAGGAGCTGGGGGGGGGCAGGGCACTGGGAAGGGGTCCCTCGGAGGCCTCCTGGGGATGGGGGCTGCAGCTCGTCTGAGCGCCCCTCGAGCGCTGGTACTCTGGGCCGCACTGGGGGCGGCAGGTAAGAGCTGGGGTTCCGGGCAGGAGCCCCTGAGGGGTGGGGCGGGCATGGGGGTGCCCAGGAGAGGGGTTCAGGCTGCTCTCTCCCCAGCTCACATCGGACCAGCCCCTGACCCCGAGGACTGGTGGAGCTACAAGGATAATCTCCAGGGAAACTTCGTGCCAGGTGCAGCCAAGGCGGGGACCCAGGAGTCCGGCCCTCGGGCGACTCCTTCAGACTCGGGAATCTGCATTCCCAGCCCTCTCCCCCTTCCCTCAGGGTCGGGCCAGCCTCTGAACCCCAGGGGCTCACCATGGGACATTATACATGCGCATTTCAAGTAGTGAGTGGGAGTGAGTGGAAGGAAAGAAAGTGTGGGGGTGGAGATTCTGTGTGTGTGTGCGGGGAGAGGCAGGTCCTTGCTCCCGCTAGGGACCGGAGGCTTGGTGGCCCGTCGCCCACCTTGTCCAGCCCTGTCTTGCAACTCCTCTCCCGAATTCATTCATTATCCAGCTGTGGGACGAGGGAGACCGAAAGAACTACAACTCCCATGGGGCTCTGGGGCAGGGTAGCCGTGGATGGGTAGGCTGGTAGCCCCGGGGCCTGCTGGGAGTTGTAGTTCCATACACAGGTGCTAGGTTGGATCAAGGAGAGATTGGGGGGTCTTGGGGGACAGTCTTAGGAAACTAGTCCAAGATTCTTCTAGGACCTAGGATTCTGGATTCCAGCCCCCTCCTCCCTCAGACCCAGGAGTCCAGGTCCCCAGCTCCTCCTCCCCTGGGATTCGAGAGTCCAGACCACAGCCCACTCACAGCAGATTCCAGCAACGGGATCCAGTGTCAGTTTCTGACTCCTTTTCCTCCTGCCCCCAGGGCCTCCTTTCTGGGGCCTGGTGAATGCAGCCTGGAGCCTGTGTGCGGTGGGGAAGCGGCAGAGCCCCGTGGATGTGGAGCTGAAGAGGGTCCTGTATGACCCCTTTCTTCCCCCATTAAGGCTCAGCACTGGAGGAGAGAAGGTAAGGAAGGTGTTGGTGGGAGAAGTTACAAATCCACTGGCGGTGGGTAGGAGTGGGGGTCGGGGCTGGGGTGCTGAGGTGGGAGATCAGCCTTGGGCAAGGAGGGGATGACCATAGGGTGGAGAACGCTCCTTATGCCCTAAAATGGGATCACTTGCTCTTCCCTTCCCAAACACGGTGCCCTCATCTCTCCGCCTCTGTAGAAGCAAGAAAAAACCAGAAGGTTTCCAGTGCCAGGCAGTTTTTGTTTTTGTTTTTGAGTTGGGGGTCTCACTCTGTTGTCCAGGCTGGCGTGTAGTGGCACGCTCATGGCCACCCCAGCCTCGACCTGCTGGGCTCAGTGATCCTTCCGCCTCAGCCTTCCAAGTAGCCGGAATTACAGGCATGCGCTACCACGCCCGGCTGATTTTTTGATTTATTGTAGAGATGAGGTCTCGCTGCCCAGGCGGGTCTCGAACCCGCGGGCTCAGGCAATCCACTCACCTCAGCCTCCCAAAGGCACAGGATTACAGGCTGAGCCACCGAGCCTGGCTGCAACATCATTTCTTATAAGAGCCAACATTGCCCTTCTCTTAGCTGCCCAGGCCAATAGCCTCGGAGCTCGTTCCCATCCCATCCTCTCTCCCTCACACCCATTTCCAGTCCATGTTCATTCTAGCCTCACACTATCAGCCCCCTCCACTGCCCCTCTCTCAGCCAGGCCACCATGGTCTCCCACCTGGGCTGGTGGTGTAGCCTCCTCACTGGCCTGCCTCTCGGCTTTCTGAATCCATTTTCCAGCCTACAGCTAGAATGTTTAAAACACAAGCCAGATCGTATCACTTTCCTGCTCAAAATCCTCCTATTAGGATAAGCAATAATAGCAAACATTTACATAGCACTTACTTTATGTTTGGAACCCTGTCAAATGTGTTATATATATTCAGCTTATTTAAATAAAAATGCAAAACTCCCCATCATTTTCCACAAGGCCCCGTACCATCTGGCCCCATTACCACTCTCTTCTTTGTTTCTTGGACTCCAGTGCCACAGGTCTCCTGGCCCTCATTAAAGAAGGCCACCTCAGGGCCTTTGCACTTGTCACGTCCTCTTTCTGTTCTTTTGTATCTCTCACCCCTACTCATCATTCAGGTCACTAGTTGTTGTTTTTGTTTGTTTTTTTGAGTTGAGGTCTCTATCTGCTGCCTAGGCTGGATTGCAGTGGCACGATTACGGCTCGTCATAGTCTCAACTTCCTGGGCTCAGGCGATCCTTCCCTTTCAGCCTCCCACATAGTTGGGACTACAGGTGTGCACAAGCATGCCTGGCTAATTTTTTGATCTTTTGGAGAGACGAGTTCTTACTATGTTGCCCAGGCTGTGGCCTCGAACTCCTGGGCTCAAGCAATCCTTCTGCCTCAGCCCAGGTTGCTATTAAAATGTCATCTCAGTCGGGTGCAGTGGTTCACACCTGTAATCCCAGCACTTTGGGAGGCAGAGGTGAGAGGATTGCCTGAGCCCACAGGTTCGAGACCAACCTGGGCAACTTGGTGAGACCTCAGCTCTACAATAAATCAAAAAATTAGCTGGGAGGG